GGTCTGTGGTCAAGAATAGGCATGTTTTTTTCTGTTTTAAATAGATTTTGATAATTAGATTACAAAACAAAACAAAATAAACAAGTGTTTTTAGATGCCCCTTAATGAAAAAACATGATTTAGAAAGTCGTTTTTTCCCGTAACGCGATCGGTTATTCCGCCGCCATTTTTAACTGATTACGTAGAATATCCCTACTTAATTTGGTTAACCATTTCCCACATGAGCATATTGTGAAAAATGGTCGTTTTCACTGAAAAGTCTCCTGTAACAAGTTCAAACTGCTATGAAACTATCAAAAATGCTTCAATACTAATCAAACTTTGCACAAATGTTGACTGGACCATTGCCTTTGTAACGACATGCTCAGTCTTAAATTTCCTGTTGCCATGGCAACGAGGGGACATCTCAAAATTGCCAAAAATCACTATTTTGCCTCGATTTTTTCCATCAAAATTTATTTCAAAGTGCTGCAACTTCGCAAGGGATTGAGATAGAGTCAAAGGCTTTTCAGCGTTGGTTACACGTTACCTTATCATCGACCTGGGGTCATTTTTAGCCTCTCACAAGTCCAAAATTTGTTTGGCGATGAGGGGGACTCCGCCCCCCTTCAAACCCCCAAAACAGAAGGGGGCACATCCCCCTTCTGGCAACCCCCTGATGTATCTTTTGGATGGTGGGCGGCGCCGAAAAAGTGCTCACATTTTTTAGCAACATTTCTCAAACGAAAACATGTGTTTCGGGCCCAAATAGGACATTTTTTTACTATTTCAGGCCTAAAAAGGGGGGGGGGGGTTGAAAGTGCGTTGTTTCGCGTATATATGAGGTAAAGGGTTAACCTTCATGTCAGTTATACATAATATGTGTAAATATTTATCGCTAATACATAACAAGAGCCACCGCCGGGCGGGGACAACGCTCGACTTTTTACTTTTTCTAAACGCAAACATAGAAAGGTTTGAACATATCTTAATGTTTCCTTTTAATAAATTAGTTGGTCTGTCTTGTCACATAAGTTTTGTTTATATATTTTGTATATATATATATATGAATAGAAACATTAAGCAAAAATAGCAACATTACGCAATTTCTTAAAATAGCAACATGACGCAATTTCTTAAAATAGCAACATGACGCAATTTCTAAAAATAGCAACAATGACGCAATTTCTAAAAATAGCAACAATGCTGCAATTTCTAAAAATAGAAAAAAATGACACAATTTCTAAAAATAGAAAAAATGACGCAATTTATAAAAATAGAAAAAATGACGCAATTTCTAAAAATAGCAACAATGCCGCAATTTCTAAAAATAGAAAAATGACGCAATTTCTAAAAATAGAAAAAAATGACGCAATTTCTAAAAATAGCAACAATGATGCAATTTCTAAAAATAGAAAAAATGACGCAATTTCTAAAAATATCAACAATGATGCAATTTCTAGAAATAGAAAAAATGATGCAATTTCTAAAAATAGAAAAAATGACGCAATTTCTAAAATATAGAAAAAAATGACGCAATTTCTAAAAATAAAAACAATGACGCAATTTCTAAAAATAGAAAGAATGATGCAATTTCTATAAATACAAAGAATGACGCAATTCTATAAATAGAAACAATGACCCAATTCTATAAATAAAAACAATGACGCAATTCTATAAATAGAAACAATGACGCAATTCTAGTTGTTGTTGTTGTTGTTGTTGTAAATAAATATATATATATATATATAGACACACACACACACCAATAAATATATAATTATGGTCATTTAATGCACAAATCTGAGAAAATTCAGTAATTTAACCTTCAAGGTCAAGGTCATTAAAGAGCCCAAGCAAATTTGGGTTTGATAAACAACAAGGTCTGGTCCTTAAGAATGTTCTCTTATAATATGAAGTTGATCCCTTCAATAATAGCAAAGTTACAGTCAGTTACAGCCAAAACAATGAAAATTTCAATAATTTGACCTTCAAAGACAATGTCATTAATGAGTGAAGGTCAAGGTTATTCGGTATATTTTTAACAGTAATCTTTGAAGATTATTATGTTCAAGTTTCAAGACAATCCATTCAAAAATAACAAAGTTACAGCCAATAAAAGCCAAAAAAAATGAAAATTTCAATAATTTGACCTTCAAAGTCAAGGTCATTCGTGAGTGAAGGTCAAGGTCTGGCTGGTTATTTTTAAGGGATATCCTTAAAGATTATTATGTTCAAGTTTGAAGACAATCCATTCAAAAATAACAAAGTTACAGCCAATAACAGTATGAACAAGCAAAAATTGGACTTTTAACCTTGAAGGTCAAGGTCATTTATGGATGAAGGTCAAGGTTAGTGTGGTCTACTGAAAGGTCTTGTCCAAAGGGTTGTTGTGGCCAAGTATGAAGACAATACACCAAGAAATAAAAAAGTTATGATCCAGGTACAAGTTTGCGGACGGCAACGGCAACGAAAATAGAAAAAATGACGCAATTTCTAAAAATAGCAACAATGATGCAATTTCTAAAAATAGAAAAAATGACGCAATTTCTATAAAAAAAATAGAAAAAATGACGCAATTTCTAAAAATAAAAACAATGACGCAATTTCTAAAAATAGAAAGAATGATGCAATTTCTATAAATACAAAAAATGACGCAATTCTATAAATAGAAACAATGACCCAATTCTATAAATAAAGAAAATGACGCAATTTCTAAAAATAGAAACAATGACGCAATTTCTAAAAATAGAAAGAATTGATGCTTTTCTATAAATAGAAAGAATGACGCAATTTCTATAAATAGAAACAATGACCCAATTCTATAAATAGAAACAATGATTCTATAAATAGAAACAATGACGCAATTCTAGTTGTTGTTGTTGTTGTTGTTGTAAATATATATATATAGACACACACACACACACCAATAAATATATAATTATGGTCATTTAATGCACAAATCTGAGAAAATTCAGTAATTTAACCTTCAAGGTCAATGTCATTAAAGAGCGCAAGCAAATTTGGGTTTGATAAACAACAAGGTCTGGTCCTTAAGAATATGAAGTTGATCCCTTCAATAATAGCAAAGTTACAGTCAGTTACCGCCAAAACAATGAAAATTTCAATAATTTGACCTTCAAAGACAATGTCATTAATGAGTGAAGGTCAAGGTCTTTCGGTATATTTTTAAAAGTAATCTTTGAAGATTATTATGTTCAAGTTTCAAGACAATCCATTCAAAAATAACAAAGTTACAGCCAATAAAAGCCAAAAAAATGAAAATTTCAATAATTTGACCTTCAAAGTCAAGGTCATTTGTGAGTGAAGGTCAAGGTCTGGCTGGTTATTTTTAAGGGATATCCTTAAAGATTATTATGTTCAAGTTTGAAGACAATCCATTCAAAAATAACAAAGTTACAGCCAATAACAGCATGAACAAGCAAAAATTGGACTTTTAACCTTGAAGGTCAAGGTCATTTATGGATGAAGGTCAAGGTTAGTGTGGTCTACTGAAAGGTCTTGTCCTAAGGGTTGTTGTGGCCAAGTATGAAGAAAATACACCAAGAAATAAAAAAGTTATGATCAAGGTACAAGTTTGCGGACGGCAACGGCAACAGGAACGCCGACCTGACTATAACAATACCTCTACTTTTTTTTTCAAAAAAAAAAGTCGAGCTAAAAAATATGTATTGTTTTGTGTCATTCAGCGTATTGTATACTTTTTTTTTTACACGAAGATAATGTTAAAAAAAATCAAGATTTGCTTTTGATATTTAAGTGCTCTTACTAAACGCGACCATCGATAAACACGACGCCGATAACACAAGGCCATTCAATTATTCAACTGGGTTGTAAACAAACCATCAAAAAGAGAGAAATAACGCAGACAAAAACATATCCTAAAGGTTCTAATTTCTCATACAAACTATGCAATTTACGGGGGAATATATAACTTGTTTATTTACCTTATATATGAACTATTCACTTTCAAATGATCAACATTCTATATTTTGATAGACGTGTATCTTTTCATTATTATTGATTTTCTTATATATCTAACCGGTTTTTTGTGTGCCTTTCGCACTGTGAAATATAATTATGCCGCTATGATAAAGCCAATAAAACTTAATTGATCTTTTTGACCTCCTGTCGCGTAATATGTTGCGTAATTTATGCCCTGTGATGATTATGTTTTTCACACGTTCAAGTGGTTTCAACATACTTTTAGTCATTTATGTTGCAATACAATCAAGTTATTATCCCAAGGATAATTCATTGCTTTCATTGGTTATTGGAATGTTAGAACTGCCCTGACCAACCCACATTACTTTTTTGCATAATGAGTGTCACTCTGTCGATGAAATTTAAGGTAATCATAATATTTCAGATCTTTTCAAATGTTTATTTGTTAATGTCTGCCTAACATGATGAAAACCGGGAGTACGAGGAATTACATACATGTACGTAATTATTAAAAGAGGGTATTGACACTTGTAAAAAGTGGTATGATGGATAAATAAAAGAAAGCGGTTATTGTTTTAAAATATATATTCATGTTGGACTAAAGTGATATTTTTATGTTGGATATAAACACTTAAGTAGTATTTATTGTTCGTTAAATTAACTAACTTAATAAGTTGAGCTAGGACAGTCGAGTTCACCGTCGTTTTTGGAGGTAAAAAGTGATTTTGTCGATGGCTGTTGTTCAAACATAAAAGGTGAACTACAAATGGATCGCTATCAACGATTTTTAGATAGGTCATACACGATATGTACGTAAATTCAAATCATATTACGACAAACACAGCTAAATATCGTTATCATGAACTATCAACAATTTACAAAGGGATATATGTACATGTACATCACTTCCTGTTTGAGATTGCACCTGCAAACGGTTAGGAACTCTTACATCTGTGTGACTGCACTTTGTCAGGCAATTATCGATAATTTAATGCTATGTTATGAAAAATAAACTTTGTTCTACACGACCATACGTAAATATGAGGATTACTTACATTTAATTACTTCAGGAAGTACTAAATCTACGGCGAGAATTGCGAGTCCTTCTGCCATCTTCAATTTGTACTGATGAGTTATCTTCTTTCCAGGCTCTTCCAATCCCCTACAATGAGTATGTAAGCACATTCACCATAGTACATTATGTCTGGACATTTCTAGGGCTGCAACTATACACTTATTCGGTTCATGTGTGATTACTATTTAATCTTAGGTTGACATTTCTGCTTTATTGTTGTACAAGACAGTGGCCCTTGATCATGTTGACATTTCTTTTATTATTATTATTTTTTAATTGTCTCAACATATTTATTTTATCCTATTAGTAAGCAGGGTGTCCGTTTGACCCTTGAAATGACTCTTTGACCCTTCAAATATCCAAAAGGCCTGATTTGACCCTAAGGATTTTATCTTGAGGGTCAAATTTTGTTTGAATCATGGGGATTTGACCTTGCAGTCGGTAAAACTTAGTCAAAATGACTCTAAGGATTTCATGGCTAGTAAACACCCTGAGTAAGGTTCATGAAACTAAACTGTGGTTTATTTCAAATTATTGAGAAAACATTTCTAAACAAACAAACTATCACAATAATGTGATAGTAATCTTATAAATCTGGCCTTTTTCTCAAACTAAATCTAGGCTTTGTAATACATCAACATCAGTACACTTCTTTCTTTTAATGTGTTGCATCACGGCTTGTAACTGACGCCACGGTTGCATCAAGTTAGTTGAAAACTTACCGACATGACACGCCGACAATGCATATCATAGACGTTGCTTTGTTTAATTCGTTACCCTCGCGAAACCCGAAGCGTTCAGGGGCGCATATAGTCGCCGGGTTGTCCGTCATTCCTTCCGTACATACGTACGTCCCGAATTCGTGTCCGGCCCATAATTTCGTTATTTGAAGTCGGATTTTACAATTATTTTACAGAAATAATCACCATATTGAGACGACGTGTCGCGTGCAACATTTGGGTCGCTACCTTGAAGGTCAAGGTCACAGCTAACCTTGCAGCAAAATCGTGTCCGGCCCACAACTTCGTTATTTGAAGTCGGATTTTACAACTATTTCACAGAAATGATCAACATATTGACCCAACGTGTTGCGCGCAAATTTGGGTTGCTACCTTGAAGGTCAAGGTCACAGCATGACCTTGCAGCAAAATCGTGTCCGGCCCATAACTTCGTTATTTGATTTCGGAATTTTCAACTATTTCACAGAAAATGATCACCATGTTAAGACGACGTGTCGCGCGCAACACTTGGGTCACTACCTTGATAGTCAAGGTCACAGCATAACCTTGCAGCAAATTCGTGTGCGGCCCATTACTTCGTTTTTTGACGTCGAATTTTACAATTATTTCACAGAAATGATCACCATATTGAGACGACGTATCGCGCGCAACATTTGGGTCGCTATTTTGAAGGTCAAGGTCACAGCATGACCTTGCAGCAAAATCGTGACCGGGCCATAACTTCATTATTTTAAGTCGGATTATACAACTATTTCACAGAAATTATCACCATATTGAAACGACGTGTCGCACGCAAGATTTGGGTTGTTTTGACACAATTTCAACTTTGTCTGTGACATAACTCTGACACTACAAGAGGTATACCTTCCTGTGCCCAAAACCTATTCGGGGAGCACCACTCGGTTCAACCGGCTCTTGTTTAACTTGTGTTGGAGGATTTATAGATTTATTGGAGAGGTCATCAGACCTCTCAATAGTGTTGAGAATGACTGCTGGCGGCATCACTTTTTGCGTATCAAATTAAAGCTAATGCATTGCAAAAGAACCAGTCTACAAAAATTGTTATGCGCATGCTCCACTTCAAAATACGACTGCCTTAAAAGAAAAAATAATATCGAAGTGAAAAATCGGTACAAGGAAAAATCAGAAAATATCATTTACGTTACTTAATACTACGAGCAATGGTTAATTCCGTTTTTAATCCTTTAAACTATATATTAAATCGAGTACTGTTATGTGTTTTACTATTTCATGTTCCGAAAATAGTAACAGTGAACACTATAGCTACAATATCACCATGCACTATTATATGACCTAGTGAACAGTGTACCGAACTTAGCTCCCCTTTTATTTTTAGAACCGGTAGGACTAACTCACGCAACGGAGATCTTTTGGCGCAAATGGCACAAACCTTTCACAAGTTTGATTGTCTTGAAATATTGTTGGAAGCATGCAGCTACTGATTCCAATAAAATGATATATACATTTTTATGTAACTCTTGGACTTAAAATTGTTTGATTAACATACTTAATGCCCGTTTTGGAAACTCTCTGTTGCAGAGAAAATGTTTCCATATACTTTCCAAATCGTTAATCGAAAATTTGATTATTGAATTTGACAAGAAACTTTTATTTTGATACAACTTTAATATATATCATTTATTTTAAATTTTATTTGATAACATTACATAAATTATTCCCTTTTTTGAAAAAATATTCCTGATGCGCCAATAAAATGTCCATTTCTCCGGCATAAAATCTTTTTAAACATTAAACAAGAGCGATCAGTAATCACATGTGTCACCTCATGATGGCCAATTTCATGTTGGGACAAATTTTGTGACAGACGGACAGACAGACGGACAGTGCACAACTAGACTTGGTACTGATCATTCCTGTAAAGTTTGGATAAAATTTCACCAGTAGTTTATGAGGAGTAGTCCGGACAAGCTTTTGCGTATCTGGCAACACACAGAAAAAAACACCTTTTTATCAAAGGGCCATAACTCAGCCAAAAATCATTCAACCGGAAACCCCGTGCAATATGCGCAAGGACTTGAGCTACAGATCAATCCTGTAAAGTTTCATTGAAATTGCATTAGTGGTATAAGAGAAGTAGTCCGGACAAACTTTAAAAATAAAAAGTATTAAAGGGCCATAACTCAAACAAAAATAATTGAACCGGAAAAATGCTGACAATATGCACAACTAGACTTGGTACTGATCATTCCTATAAAGTTTGGGTGAAAATTGCACCTGTAGTTTATGAGGAGTAGTCCGGACAAGCTTTTGTGTATCTGGCAACACACAGAAAAAGAAACCTTTTTATCAAAGGGTCATAACTCGGCCAAAAATCATTCAACCGGAAAACCCTTGCAATAATGCGCAAGGACTTGAGCTACAGATCAATCCTGTAAAGTTTCATTGAAATTGCATAAGTGGTATAAGAGAAGTAGTCCGGACAAACTTTAAAATTAAAAATTATTAAAGGGCCATAACTCTGACAAAAATCATTGAACCGGAAAATGCTGACAATATGCACAACTAGACTTGGTACTGATCATTCCTGTAAAGTTTGGATGAAATTGCACCAGTAGTTTATGAGGAGTAGTCCGGACAAGTTTTGTGACGGACGGATGGATAGACAGACAGACGGACAGACAGACGACGGAGAAGTGATCCCTATATGTCGCCACTACTCCGTAGAGGCGACACAAAAATGAAGTGTAAAACAAACTTTCATTATGATACTGTATTCAATAGATATACATGTAATAAATTCTATTTTGTTTAATAATTGTAATTTATAAACATTCATTGTTCCTTTTATGCAAAAACATTTTCAAATATTTTCGAAAAAAAACAACACAACAAATCTTCATCAGCTGCAAAAAGACCTCTCGCATGCTTCTTTTAAAAGAAGCAAACTTGTCTTTTTTTTCTACATTGAAGTTTGAATCATTTATGATTTGCTTTGAGAAAATACAACATTTCGCGCTCACTGATTGGATAACCGAGATAAATTAACCAATCGTATTTTGCGTAAAATAGCGGTATACTAGTTAGAGAGGAACTAAAAGTCGCATTGTTCCTGTGTTTATTTTTTGTTGTGAATCGTATTTGATGTCGGAATCGAATCGGCGCCAAATAAACCGGTTTTGGATGCATTGGAACGTATTGTTGCACCTCTAGGTCACATTTCAGGGGTAAAAATAGAACACCCATACTTTTATGAATGCATCTGCACAATGTAATCATGCATTAGTTATTTATGATATGGGTTTTCAACTGAAATGAAATGAAATGTTCGCAAAATTTAAGACGGAATTATTTTGATTCAATTATACTGCAAATTCATTGTCAATAATATCCACTTTAACACTGTATGGTATTGAAAATGAATAAGTTTGATATACAAAACAATGACAGTATTGACTTTGCTGCACACCATTTTTACTTAAACATGAATGACATTCAAAAGACATTTTATAATTATTATGCCTGTGCTATATCGTCTGTTAAAGAGCCCTAAAGAGCTGTTGTTGGGTTGACATGTCTCTTAAGGTATTAGGACCCTAATGGGCACTATTAGGTACTAAAAAATTGACATCATAAGTCAGATTTATACCTTAAAGTACACCTGTATGCAAAATTTAAACAAAGTTTACCGTACGGAAATCAAGTTATGGCCACTTTTCTGACCTCAAGCTAGGATGTTATGAGGACCCTTTTTTAGAAAGTAGGAACCTTTAAATAATCTGCAATAACATTCTAATGAAAAATGTCTTCCCATTAATTTTTGGTAAGAAACAAATAGTACCATTCAGCTAACAATCCAAATAAGCAAAATTATGGTTTCTACTTAAAATTTAAGAAATCTGTATAAAAATGTTACCCTACCCCACCCATTTTTACCACGTGTCTGACCATTTTTCTACTTAGGGAGCCTAATTTAAAAAATTCTTAAAATTTACCCAAATGAGTTCCTGTTTTCAAAGTTTCCCTAAATTTTTAAAAAAGTATATTGGTTGATCTTGTAAAATATGAAATACTTTTACCGTCTAGTTTTGATTATATTACACTTTGAAAATATCAGGTACCATATTTATTACTAAATTTAGCATAATTTAGCCAATAAATACCTATATAAATTAAAAAATCAAAATTAAACACTTTTTTCTTTCCAAATGGGACATGAGAGATACATAAATAATGTTAAAAGAAAAAAAGAAAGAAAAAAAAAGTTGACCCTTCTGGGGATTGAACCCATGGCCCTCATTTTCAATGTAGTTAACAGTAGTTCTAGCCTATTTGAATACTCTTCAAAGCGGAGGTAATGCATTAGGGTGCTAATACCTTAAGAGAAAAAA